CTCCCCCTCGTGACCCCCCCCCCCCGCAGCAGCATTTCCTCTCTCTCGTGATCTTCGGCCTCTCCGCTACGCCACCAGTCACGTTGGCACCGCGTCACCCAAACCAGCAAGGCAGATCGCCCCTCTTGCCTCTCCCCCTACCCCGCAAGCCAGACCCTGCACTGCCGGGAGCTGTTGGGGCTGACCCTTGGGCAGAGCGACTTCTTTACTTCTGTGCCTCCCCGTCTCCTCCCCCCCCGAAAAAACGTGGCACCGTCACATGCATGCCCAGCTCTTAGGAGCTGTAAAGTTCTGCATGGCACAAGGCTCCAGCTTTCTCCCACAATGCCCGCTGCTTCTCCAACGCCCCTGTAGGTCTGGAGGGGTGGAGGGACCGCCCGAGCACATCACAGGGAAGAAGACACTTTGAATTAAGCCTGGCGACACAGAGGAAGTTTGTGCAAATGTTACGAGGTGGGGCCGCATCTTTCCGGTTGCCTGGCCCCCCCTCAATTCCCCAATCAAAGTTTCCCAACTGTCTTCAAGGGCAGCCCCACGGAGAGCACATTCCAGTATCCAAGCAAGGCCTGGCTATTTTATGGCGCTCTCTTGATATGGGCATTGCCGCTCTACCCCATCTCGCCCCCCGTCCACTGACAGAAAAGCAGTTTTGTGTAACACAAAACCCTGCTTATTTCTACTTCACACTTCCTGTTCCAGCTCTGGTGTCCGAATTATGGACATGAACGTACGGAAAGGGATCCAGGTCCATTTTCCTCGGTTCAGATTTTTTGTTCTTATTTTGCTCCCTGTTTGCTTAGCCAGAATAATCAGCGGGGTGGTTTCATGAACACGCTCGCCCCAGTTCATCTCTCGGAGGTGACGCTGTCCTTAAAACGTGCGGAGTGCTGCGTGCCGCTTGGAGAAGCGCTCTCGGCGCGCAGTTTTGCAGCAGCCTCAATAAAAAAGGGAAAAAGAGGGGAGAGGAGAAAACAAGAAAGTTCAGGGGCCGCTTCCTTCCTAACATTCGTTCCTGGGAGTGGAGCAAACTTTACAAGCCCAGTTCCACTGCAGAATTTTGGAAGGAGCCGGATGTTCTCCATTTGGGCTCTTTCCATCAGTGATCTGTCTTGGGGTCTGCAGAAAGCAGACCACTTACTGAAAAAAGAGGAAATGCTGTTCTTGGGTGCCTGGCATTGGTTTTGATTTAGCATGTCCTGGGTTTGGTCCAAATTTTCAGCTGCTCCTTTCCTGCCTCAAATTAAAAATCGGTTTTCTCTCTCTGCTGAAATTTTGCTCTCGCCAATCACACCTAAGGTTTTTTTCCCCTTGCCTTCCGCAAAGCCGTACTTTTCCCCCTCGTGAAATGGGTAGGAGGGCAAGTCTGGGATATAGGGAGAAAGTCATTGGGGGCTTGGCAAGGGTCCCCCCCCCCCCCCCGCCCCCAATCAGTAGCCTCTGCTTCTGCGTAAAAGTTATTCTCCTCTCCTGGATTCATAGCTTCTTTCCAGGGTGGGAGAGGACGTGAGATTGGGGCTGGGTCCTTGGTCACTGGATGGAGGTGAATGTTTTATGAGGATGGGGGGGAGTAGGAGAGCTACCTTGACTTTTGGGGCGTGCTGAGTACCTCTCCGTGGCTCCCCAGTCTTCCATGCTGCCTCGCCCACCCTCATTCCCTCATTCTTACCCCGAGCTCCGTGTGGTCAGTGAGGAGGAACATGGTAGCCAAGCCAGCGCCTTTGCCCACCTGGCCATGGCCCGGCCTGTTCCAGAAGCAGGGCTTCTCCTGCATCATCTGAGGGCACCACTGGAGATGCCGCAGGTGGCACCTGGGAACTTGCCAGGCGGCTCATCTGGGGGGTTGGCACATGTTGGTGGCTGGGACACAGCCGGGCACCAAGGGGTTGAAGCCGAGTGTTGCCCTCCTGGTACCCGGCCCCAGGCTGAGTGGGCGTTCCCACAGTCAGTGCTGCCCCCAGCTGGCCTGGCTTTGAGAAGCTGGAAGGGGGGGGGCGAGGTCTGAAGCAGAACCCCAAACTTGCTTTTCTGGGCCAGTGAGGTCTTCAGTTCATTGGGGCCCAGATTGGCTTAGGGATCAAGGGGGCACGTCCCTTTCGGGGCTCAGCTGGGCATGCTCTTCCCCCCACCCCAGCGCAGGCCTCTCTCTGTGAGCCCCGCTCAATTTGGGCTGTTTGGTCGCTGGTTCTAGGAGGGACAAGGAGCCCGTGCACGTAAGGTCTGTGCCCACCTGGCCCCCTGCCTCGGTGGGGAGAAGTTGGAGGGCTGCTTGGCAGAAAACGGATGGATGGATGGATGGATGGATGGATGGATGGATGGATGGATGGATGGATGGATGGCGCAGATCCTCTCCGAGGTGCAGGGCTGGGGATGGGCCTGCTTTTTCCATCCCGCAGGCGCGCTTTGAGAATCGAGGACATCTGCCCGGCCCAGCCTCTAGCAGGGGGAAACAGGAAACCCAATTCCTTTCTCGATCTTCCTCCTCCTGCTCGCTGCAGAGCAAGACTAAACGTACGAGCCCGCCACCAAGTTTGGGCTTCCGGCAGGGAGAATGGTTCGGTCCAGAGCTCGTTGCAAAGCTGGGGAGTTTCATCTCTCCCCATCTTCATGGGGTGCAGCGAGAGACGAGGCCACCCGTCTTCCTTTTGCCCTTTGTTGGCTTCTGCAGCACAACTGGAGCCTCTGGGGAGGGAATTGAACTTCCTCCTATCTCCAGAACAGGCCCCCCTGCAAAAAAAAAGCAGCTTTGGGCTTCACCATCTCTCTTTTTTTCCTCCCCTCCCCGAACACTGATCTCTTCCACCCCGCGTAGCCGGTCCGGCTTGCCCCTGAGCGAGAGTTCATCAAGTCGCTGATGGCCATCGGGAGACGCCTGACGACGCTGCCGACCAAGGAGCAGAAGACGCAGCGGCTGATCTCGGAGCTCTCCCTGCTGAACCACAAGCTGCCGGCCCGGGTCTGGCTCCCCACCGCTGGCTTTGACCACCACGTGGTGCGAGTCCCCCACACCCAGGCGGTGGTCCTCAACTCCAAGGACAAGGTGAGGCGGGGCGCACGGAGCTGCTGGGGTAGCAGGCGGGCCTGGGGGGTCGCGGCTGCCCGTCCGTTCTCAGAGCAGGAGGGAGACTTCGGGGATTGCTCCCAGGACCCATAGCCGCTCTCTGGGGGGCTCCTTCTGGTGCTGTTTGCTCGCGCTTTGGGCTTGCAGATTTGGGTCCTCCCCGGGGCCGTGATGAGCAAGCTTCCTCCCTCTGCAGACCCTTCAGCCTCTGCAAAAGGATTGGTCTCCAGTCCCCCCTCCCCATTAGATCCCCCCCAGGGCGCCTTGCCTCTGTGTAACGCGACACCCAGGCGGGGCAGAGCGTTCGTCCAGAGAACGGGGAGATCCGCCCGCAAAGGAGCACCACTGCATCTCCCTCCTCTCCCCCCCCCACAGGCTCCTTACCTAATCTACGTGGAAGTACTTGAATGCGAAAACTTCGACACCACTAATGTCCCGGCCCGGATCCCGGAGAACCGGATCCGCAGCACGCGCTCGGTGGAGACCCTCCCCGAGTGCGGCATCACCTACGAGCAGCGCGCCAGCAGCTTCACCACCGTGCCCAACTACGACAACGACGAGGAGGCCTGGTCCGTGGACGACATCGGGGAACTGCAGGTGGAGGTGAGCTGAGGGGGCTGGCGCTGGGGTGTCCAGGAGGAGCGCTGGGACAGCCTGGGGGGGTCCTTGCTCCTCTCCCGCCCCTTCCCTGCCCAGAAGACCGGAGAGGCAGCTCGAAGGGGGGAAGGTCATTGGGGGCCTGGCAGCTCCTTCCCCACCGAGCATAGCCCCTGCCCAGGGGGAAACTGGGAAGGGCAGGGCCATCAGGAGCCCCCGGCCCTCACGGCTGCCCCCCACTGGGCTTCCTCTCCCCCCCCAGCTCCCCGAGATGCACACCAGCAGCTGCGACAACATCTCACAGTTCTCCGTGGACAGCATCACCAGCCAGGAGAGCAAGGAGCCGGTCTTCATCGCCGCTGGGGACATCAGGTGAACAGCCCCGCCTCGGCCAGGCGGCCCGTGGCCCCTCACCTCTCCTGCCCCCCATGGCGGGGAGGAAGGAGGCTGCTGTAGTTCATTAAAAGAAGAAGAAATACAGGGTTGATCTTTTTAGGGTGGCCTAGATCATGGGCAGCTCACGTGCCTAAGGTGAATAAAATGGCTTAGCCGGCCGTTTTTTTTTTTTTTTTTTTTTTTTTTTTTTTTTTTTTTTTTTTTTTTTTTTTTTTTTTTTTTTTTTTTTTTTTTTTTTTTTAAACACTAAAAAACCGTGTTTATGCTGGGAGCTGCGTGTGGTAACTGGATTTTTTGGAGGGGTCTTAAAACACCACTGTTGAACGCCTACTGTTCTGGTAGCGATTTAAAACTGTAAAGCAAAACTTTAAAGCAAAGTCCGTCT